AGAGGCTGCAGGGAGGCAAAGAGGAGAGAAGCAGACTTGGCCAGGGCCTGGAGATTGATGGGTTCTGCTCCGTGCTGGCCAGCATGGGATCCACCCGGGAGCTGAAGATGGGAACAGGACAATGATGAACAGCCTCCTGCCATGGGGAAGCCAGCTTGAGGCCTAATCAGATCAGATCCCCCCTCCCAGCTCCTCTGGCTCCTTTCCTTCCTCTTCCCAGCTCACTGACCTCCCACTCTTAACTTCCCAGCCCTACCCTGCCTGAGGTCTCCAGCCACCCCAGTTGCTTTTATAAATGGCCCTGGCAGGCAGTGGGCACCTTGGCTAATTGAGTCAGCGCCCAGGAGACAGGAAGCAGGAGGCTGGTTAGCATCATGGCTGTTAGGCAGTGGCAGCAACAACTTGAGTGGAGTCGTCAGGGAGGAGCCTGCGGGAGCGGAGAGTGCCAAGGAGCTGGGCCTTTGTAGATTCTGAAGCTCCAGGTTGATAACTCATGGGGTGGGGATGGCGGGGCGGCCTGATTCCCACTGTCACAGGCTGACACCACGGACCACTGGCCAACATACATACACACACACACACACACACACACACATATCACTCCTATGCTTTAGAAAAAGAAAATTCAAGGGGAGGCAAGAGAGGCAGAGAAGAAAAGGAGCGGGAAGAATGATGATGTATGCTGTATGTGCACACCTCTGTGCTAGATGTCAGTCATGAAGCCATCCTTACCTGCCCAGTGTCACCTCTGCATAATAATTAGCAAATCAAACCAGTTTCTAGGTGTCCTGGTCACAGCAAACCTTCTCATGGTATCAACAGCTATCTGACTTCAGACCTTGGAGCCTTCAAGAGACCCTTCTGGATGGATCAGTTACTTGCTGTGATATTGCCCTGTCCCCTTTGAGGGCAGCTATTTCCTTACCTATGAATTTGCCCCTGGGCAGCCTGGTGGCATACAGGCCCTCCAAGGAGGCCAGCACAGTGGCCCATGCCTATAATCCCAGCACTTTGGGAGGCCGAGGCAGGTAGTTCACGTAAGGTCAAGAGTTAGAGACCAGCCTGGACAACATGGTGAAACGCTGTCTCTACTAAAAATACAAAAAATAAGCCCAGTGTGGCGGCAGGTGCCTTTAATCCCAGCTATTCCAGAGGCTGAGGCAGGAGAATCATTAGAACCCAGGAGGCAGAGGTTGCAGTGAGCCGAGATCATGCCCTTGCACTCCAGCCTAGGCTACAAGAGAGAAACTCCATCTCAAAAAAAAGAAAAAAGAAAGAAAGAAACTCTCCCAGGAGGATCTGACCTCTGAGTGTCTGTTTGAGGAGGGTGATCCCTCAAGCAAACTCCTTCATTCCTGCATTCAGTGAGCATCTGGCTGCCCACTCCACCTGGCAGGCCCCCCCGCAGACCCCTCGAGGGTGGGGATGGGTCTGTGTGGCTCCCCAGCCCCTAGGTGGGGCTGGTCCATGAGCTATGCGATGCTCCATGGCATTTGGTTTTCTGTTGTTTTTGCTTTTGACCAGGTCCTCACTCTGTCACCCAGGCTGCTGTGCAGTGGCTCAGTCACAGCTTACTGTAGCCTCAACCTCCTGGACTCATGCAATCCTCCCACCTCAGCCTCCCTAGTAGCTGGGACGACAGACAAGCACCACCATACTCAGCTAATTTTTAAATTTTCTGGGGAGATGGAGTTTCCTCATTTTGTCTAGACTGGTCTCAAACTCCTGGGTTCAAGTAATCCTCCAGCCTCAGCCTCCTAAAATGATGAAATTACAGACGTGAGCAGCCGTGCCTGGCCCATGGCGTTTGTTGAATGAAGGAAGGTACACATTGCAGATGGCCGTGGTGCACTTGAGGCCGGAGTGGCACTGACACCATTCTCCGGAGGGTGGCCCACCCCTCAATCACATCTTCTGAGAGGGACCCTGATGGCCTGATCAGCATTTTCTCAACAACTGTCTTAAGGACTTTCATTACCCCTCCCAACTTCCCCAAATGCCACTTCCCCTGCCCCTCCAGCCCTCACGCCACCTTTCCCGAGGGCCCCAATCAACCACTTCCCCTTTTGAGGCACAGAGAGCATCAGAATGGAAGAATCCAAGTCCCTAGATTTGGAAAGGGACAGAGAGGGGACGAGGGAGCAATGTTCAACTTAGGACCCTGCACCTCTTGGAGGCAGGGTTCATACATCTGGGAGTGGGATTCTGAGGCTCTGAAGGGACGCTCTGACACACACACAGTCCTCAAATTATCCCCAAGCCCTTCGGGTAGTAAATGGCTTCCTTCAGGGCCAAGCCCCCAAGCCTGGCAGTGGCGAAGCTGCCAGTGGCCTTTTCCACAGGCTAACACTGCCCCCTGCCGGGCTGAGGCAGGAAGGCCACTTCAAATGCCGCCTTAGGAAATCCAAAATGTGGCTGCCTTGCCAAAGAGAACACCCAACTCCCACCGCTGGACTGAAGAAGGGGAAGAGTAAAAGCGTTAAGGGCAGTAGAGCCTTCCCGCCTTCAGTGATCCTGAGGCTGGGAAGGGATGGTGCCGGGCGACGCTCTTCTGCACAGACAGGAAGGCCCCCACTGGCTCTCCCCAGGCAACTCATCCATTGCTCAAGTTCCTTCAACAAGGGAAAAGGCCACAGTGAGAGGAGAAACAGAGGTCACAGCACACCTGGGAGGCAGACGTCCATGCCTAAGTCTATGCCCCTCTCCCTCCTAAGCGCTACTTCTGTCCAGCTCCAGGACTCGTCTTGCTGGATCAGTGCCAGCCATCTCCCTCTCAACGCATCAGAAACTAAGTTCATCCTGTTCTCAAGACCCAAGTCTCAGGACCAGCATGGGGGCTCATGCCTATAATCTCAGCACTTTGGTAGCTGAGGAGGGCAGATCACTTGAGGTCAGGAGTTCGAGACCAGCCTGGCCAACATGGTGAAACCCTGTTTCTACTAAAAAAAAAAAAAAAGAATACAAAAATTAGCCTTGCATGGTGGCTCACACCTGTAATCCCAGCACTTTGGGAGGCTGAGGCAGGCAGATCACCTGAGGTCAGAAGTTCAAGACCAGCCTTGCCAGCATGGTGAAACCCCAGCTTACCTAAAAATACAAAAAATTAGTCAGATGTGGTTGGTGCATGCCTGTAGTCCCAGCTACTCCAGAGGCTGAGATGGGAGAATCACTTGAACCCGGGAGGCAGAGATGGCAGTGAGTCAAGATCGTACCACTGCACTCCAGCCTGAGTGACAGAGCGAGATTCTGTCTCAAGAGAAAAAAAAAAAAAAAAAAAAAACCAAGTCTCTCTAGAAAACCTCTTTCTCTGTGTTCCACATTGAGTATGAGTCCAAGATCCGCAGGGGCCAGCTGTATACCTTCTTTTGAATCCAGTCCTTTCTGAATTCTCCCTTCCCTCTTTTTTTTGAGCCAGGGACTTGCTCTCTTGCCAAAGCTAAATGATTCTCCAGCCTCAGTCTCCCAAGTAGCTGAGACTACAAGTATGCACCACCACACCTGGCTAAATTTGTTTCTTTGTTTTTATAGAGACAGGGTCTCACTATATTGCCCAGGTTGGTCTCAAATTCCTGGGCTCAAGTGATTCTCCCACTTTGGCCTCCCAAGTCGCTGGGATCACAGGTGTGAGCCACCATGCCCAGATGAATTTCCCCTTTTCAGTTTAGTCCCAACCTACCCCTTCCTACCCAAAATCCATCCTCCACAGGGCTATCAGGTTATTGCCCTAAAGCTCAGCTTTTATGGGACTCACTGTTCAAAAGCCTTGAGTCATTCCACCTTTCCCTCTAATTAGGTACCAATTACCCTTAAGACAGTCAGAACCTGCCTTCCCAACTAGATTGTGTCACCTTCCCCGAGCTCTGGGTGTAGAACTCCATCCTGAATGCGACACATCCATACGCCCCGTGGTTTCACCCACACTCCCATCCCCATCCAAGATGCTCCTTCCCACCCCAGAATCTCCATGGAACTCCTTCCCATCTGTAAACACCCACCTGAAATGGTATCTTTGATACGAAGCCTTTCTTGCGCTCCCAGGAAATAGTTATCTCTCGGGCACTCACACCCACTGTGAGACAGACACCTGTGCCCTGTCTCATCTCGTCCTGTTCTGGGCTGTGCACCTCTCACAGGCCAGGCAGTCTACAGCCTCCCACAAACAGACTATGCCGATAGTGGAAGTCCATGGACACACCCTGCCAGGAAAGCAGGTTTGATCAGAGGACCAAGCACAAGGACACAGGCTGACCTGCAGGAAAATGGGTGTGTGGGGGCCTGGGAGCCCAGGGCCAAAGGGAATCACAGAGCTGGAAGGCTGCTCAGTGCCCACATGGTGCAACCCCCTCATTTTACAAAGATGTACACAAATCTCAGAGAAGGGAGAGAGCCTAGGACCACGGAGCAGGTGACTCCCACCCCTGGTGTGTAAGAGGCTCCAGCAATCCAATGCTTTCCTTCCTTGCAATTCGGCTTTCCCTTGCTCCCCAGTGTTTCCCCCACCATTTCTCTGAGGTTGACCTTATCCTGGCAAAGGGGGGACATGCTTGAACACTGTTCTCAGGGCGCCCTGACTTCTTTTTTTTTGAGATGAAATCTCGCACTGTCTCCCAAGCTGGTGTGTGATGGCGCAGTCTCGGCTCACTGTAACCTCCGCCCCGCAGGTTCAAGTGATTCTCCTGCCTCTGCCTCCTAAGTAGCTAGGATTACAGGCACCTGCCACCATGCCTGGCTAATTTTTTAGAGATGGGGTTTCACTATGTTGGCCAGGCTGGTCTTGAATGCGTGACCTCGTGATCCACCCAACTCAGCCTCCCAAAGTGCTGGAATTACGGGCATGAACCACTGCGCTGCCTGGGTACTCCGACTCCTGCGGGCCTCTGGGAGGTTACCAGAGCGCAGCCTAGGCCCTGGGGGCACCTTGCAGCTGGGAGAGGAGGTGATCAAGGGTGGTCAGTTAGAGTCTTCACTCCCACAGCATTCATGCCACACAAAATGTTTCCAAAATGCTTTAATGCCACTGAGAAATCTGAAAGCTGAGGAAGCTACCGCCACCCACCTTGGTGCCTGGGCCCAGGCTGTCCCTGAAGTGGCCATCAGCAGTCAGGAGGCCTGCACAGCCAAGCAGCCCAGGCAATTGCTGACATCCTTTTGTCCTCTGCCCCAAATGCCCCAGGTTCCCCCTCAGCTGGGGAAAGAAAGAGGAGGAAGTGGAAAAAGAGTGGGAGGAGGGTGGGTCCTCCAGGGCACCCTTCCTGCTTTGGGATGGTGACTCACCCAGCAGGCCCTGGGAGGGGCAGTGTTTCAGCCCCAAGGAAGGCAGGCCAGGCCTCGGGCTCCAGAGGGGCAGAGGAGGGTCGTCTGATGCTGTGGCCATGAGGAGTCACCAGCAGAAGCCAGGGACAGGGCTGCGGCCTCTGTCACTACGGGCCTTTCTTAAGTATGACGTTGTCATACTCGGTTCCTGGCTGCCAGCCAGAGGCAGAGAAATCCTGCCCGGCTGGGTGGACATGCTGGAGGCCACTGGGGTCCCTGTCAGCTGTTGCCTGCCTCCTCCAGGCCTCACCCTGGGGCTCCTGTGGGCTGTCATAAAGGCACAGGGCAGCCACTCCCTCGGGCTCATCATATATGTGGTCGGGTCGAGGGGGCGGGGGCTCCTCAATGCTGTCGTACAGAGGGTCAGCCAAGAGCTGAGGAGGGACTGCCAATATGCTCCTGAAGTTATTTCCCAAGGAACGGGCCACTGCATCAAAGGGCACGGCATACTCCCCCTCTGGGCCCAGAGGCCGTGGAGCAGGTACTAGTGCGGTGGGTGAAGGCAGCGGCAGTGAGTCATGGGGCCGGGAGTAGGGGCTCTCAGGCCGGGGCAGTGAGGCGGGGATTGTGGCTGGCTGGGGTTGGGGTGCAGCGGGGGTGGCATTCTTCTGGGCAGAGATGGCCTCTTCCAGGGCCAAGAAGATATCATTGCCTTGCCGGGTTTCAAACTCAAAGTTGCCCTCTCCAGAGGCGCAGCGCCGGCCTGCCTCAAAGGAAAAGGTTACCTAGGCCAGGGAGAAAGGAGGTTATCGGCCAGCCACAGGGCAGGGATGCTTTCTTTCTTTCTTTTTTCTTTGAAATGGAGGGTCATTCTGTCGCCAGGCTGAAGTACAGTGGTGTGATCTCAGCTCACTGCAACTTCTACCTCCCGGGTTCAAGCGATTCTCCTGCCTCAGCTTCCCGAGTAGCTGAGACTATAGGCATGCACTGCCACACCCGGCTAATTTTTGTATTTTTAGTAGAAACAGGGTTTCAGCATATTGGTCAGGATGGTCTTGATCTCTTGACCTCATGGTTTGCCCACCTCAGCCTCCCAAAGTGCTGGGATTACAGGCTAAGCCCCTGCGCCTGGCCCAGGAATGCCTTCTAAACCCTATCTCTAACCCATGCCCTGGGACCTCCAGCTTCCCTTCACCAGAACCTCTGTGCTTTTCCCTACAAGCAGACTTGGCTCTCTCCTCTCCCATCTCCAGGCCCTTCCTGCTCACTGCTCCATTCAAGGATGGAGCCAGGCACTAGTTCAGCCACTGTTCACTCCTCCATGGTCTCTCCACCTCTTCTCATTCTCCTTTCTCCTTCCTTCTCCTCCACTTCCACCATCTTGTCACTCTCCTCTTTGCTTCACTCCGTCTCCCTCTCCTAGTCTCTCCCATCCCCTCGATGCTTCTTTTCTCTTCCACTGGCCTTTATTCTCTGCCTTTGCTTCCTCCCACCTCCTCCTCCCCACCATCCTCTCTGCCTCTAATGGCTCCCTCGGCCTCATCTGGCCTCCTCTGCCTCTCCCTGATCACCCACTTTGTTCATAGCTTATCCTTTCTCCCAACCCAGCCCGATGCAGCTTCCCACTCACCTTGTCCCGCCCAAAGCGCCGCAGAAACCTGTAGGGCCAGTTGTACAGCTGGGTCCCTGGTTCAGGCCCACCCCACAGCTCCAGAGCACTCTCCCCCGCCCGGAGGGTATAGGACCCCCGCAGGTGGCACCTCTCGCTGGCTTCTGTAGATCTCATGGTCACAGCAAATTCCTTGCGGGGGCCAACTGGGGAGAAGAGAGAGAAGGTGAAGGCAGTTAATGGGAAAGAGCTGGCCTGCCTCACCGCTGCCCAGTTCTAAATGACTGTGCCAGAAGTGTTCTAGAAAGAATATTATCCACGTACTCATGACCGCCCATCTGGGTCTTGGAGGCTGAGCTGCTCTATGCCAGGTCATACTCCCCAAAAGGCCAGGTACATCCACCCCCTACCCTAGTAGGCCTCATGTCCCTACCCACATCCACCCCAACCTCGTGCCCACATCCTTCCTGCCCCTGTTGCCAGAGCCACAGTCTTGTCTTCCCCACCCCTTCTCTCACCCCAAACCAGTCACCTCCCCAATCCCTACTGTCACAGCTGCAGGTGAAGCCTGGCCCTGCCCTCCCACTGCCAGGGCCCTGGGGGGTAGAGCTTAGATGGAAGGCAGATGAAAGCTGCTTCTCCCTCCACCAGCTCCTCAAAAGCAGCACCTGGGCCGGTGTGGTGGCTCACACCTATAATCCCAGCTCTTGGGGAGGCTGAGGTAGGTGGATCACTTGAGGTCAAGAGTTCGAGACCAGCCTGACCAACATGGTGAAACCCCTGTCTCTACTAAAATTGCAAAAAAATTAGCTGGACATGGTGGCGGGCACCTGTAATCCCAGCTACTCAGGAGGCTGAGGCAGGAAAATGGATAGAACCTGGGAGGCGGAGGTTGCAGTGAGCTGAGATTAGGCCATTGCACTCCAGCCTGGGGGACAAGAGCAAAACTCTGCCTCAAAAATAAAAATAAAAAGGCAACACCTGGGCCCCTAGGGTTCCCCTCTCGCACCAGCAGGCCCTAGGTAAAATGGGGTGAGCCAAGGGAGACACTCAAGGCAGGCCAGGCTCCCCTCCGCTGGGCTGTACCCGGAAGTGAAAAAGAGAGGCTGATAAGGTGGCTGGCCCCAGCTGCGGGTAACCACAAGGCAGGAAGACTTTGGGCCAGCAGCTAGCTGGCCCACACCTCCTCTTCACCTCAGCCTGGGGAGAACCCCCAGGGATAGCAGGGCAGCCCCCGCCCCTCACCTGTGGCCGCGCAGCTGTACAATTCATTTTCCTCCATGCACGGCCGGCTCTGCTTTCCCTCTGGCCCCGAGAGCTCCTTCCTCTGCCCCTGGGAAGGAGGCCCCAGGTCTCACCACCTTCCTCCCCAGGTCCCCCTCTGACCCAGGCCTCCTTGCAGGGCACCCCAGCCTGCTGGCTCTGTCTGTGCGCTGGGTTCGGGTCCCCTTCTCAAGGAAGCACCCTGACCTTGACTTCTCTAACACCTGCCCACAGGAAGCATGTAACACCCTGGCCTGCATGCCCCCTTGCCCTTTCTGCACCCCAGGGTGACTCACCGGGAAGGCCAGGAGGCAGATGGCCTGCACCCAGTCGCCTCGCTCTGCAGTGGGGGCCGCCAGTAGGTACAGGCGTTCCTTGGTCTCCAGGAAGAAGGCACTGGTGTCCCGGGGGCTGCTGGCCTCTCCGCCGGCCTCAGCCACCCGCAGGCAGTCACTAAGGCGAATAACCTTCCGGGCAGCCTCACCCCGACGGGGCTTCTCCGGACCCTCCTGCAGCTCCAGCCGGGCCAAGGCGCAGTCCGACTCTCCATACAGCGCAGCCCCGAAGCGGCGCCATTTCTGAGCCAGAGGCGTGGGAGGCGGGGGCCCAGAGGGGGCCACCCAGAGACAGGGGAGATCGTGACTCAAGGGGAGAAGAGGAACCGTGGGAGGGGGACCGGGACAGCCACGGGAGATGGGGAGAGAGAGGTGAAGATCACAGGAGACCCAGGGAGGCAGAGAAGAGGACAGGGACTGCAGGAATCAGAAAATCGGATCAGCCGCCAGCCGCCAGCCCCCAGAACGAGGCCCACGAGCAGGAGCACAGACTGCCCAGGCAGAAAGCAACACCGGGATGAGCCCTAAGCAGGCTGCAAGAAGCCAAAGGGGGCCACCCCAGCGGACTCCAGTCCCCAGGAGGAAAGCCGGGCAGTGGCCAAAGCTTTCCTCCAGAGGAGGGAGTGAGGAGGGCAGCATGTGGCCCAGCCTAGAGACCTCATTCTCCTTCTGTACCAAGTCCTGAAGAAGGCCCCATACTCCAGGAACGTCTCTCCACCCTCCTGAACCTTGCTGCCTCACTGCTTGATAGGTTGGGCCATGAGAGAGAGACAGGTGTGCCCCCAGTGTTGGTCAGCTGGGGGATGAGGACTTCCTGGTTCAAGGAGGCCAGGGAAGGAGAGAGAGGATGGACAGCTGGCTGGGTCCCAGACCCCAGAAGCCCCATGCATGAACACCAGCCACATGCACCTCACTGGGGTGAGGAAGGAACCTCTCCCATCATCCTAAACCGTCCCTCCAGCTGCCCTTCCCATTCCTTTCCAAGATGTCCTGTGAAAAGAAGCCAACACAAAGTAAAAGAGCAAAAGAGGCAAGAGATGAAGCCAGCACATCCCCCTACCCCCACCCAGGGCAAACAGCCCTCAGCAAAGAGCACAGTTTGGGACCTGGTTGGGGCCTGGTTCAGGAGACAGCGTCTGGTAGGGAAAGAGCCCTCCCAAGATTGAGCTTTGAGTCTGACTTGGTGAGTGTACAGTCAGACCTATAAGGGTTTTGAATATGAAACTCTGCACCTCAGGAATTTCTAGCAGTCCTCCAGGCCCAGTCCAGCCTCACTCCTACCTTTCCAAACGTCTGCTGCTGCTGAAGATACAGGAAGCCCTGCTTCACTGCCCCGTCTCCCATCCTCTGACCATCTCGGAGCCCCTGGCTTCAGCTCTCTCCTTCACTCCTGCCCTCTCCTCTGTCTTCTCAGCTGTGTGTTCCCCTTCTCTGAAGTTCATTTCCTCTCTGCCTAGAGTTTTCTACACTATTCTAGTCTGCTTGATGACGACAGGCTGATAGGCCCTGTGGTTTCTTCTGTGTGTGTGTGTGTGTGTGTGTGTGTGTGTGTGTGTGTTTTCTGAGTGAGTTTTATACACAAGCTTCCTGCATTTCCAGTGAGTTACAGACAATTTACAAAAAGGCAAGTGCCAGCTCTTCAGTGAGCAACAATTCAGGTACAGAAGTTGGCACATGGAGGCACCAGCAAACAGGGGCTGGCCTGCTGGAACAGAGACCAAGAAACCAAATTAGACAGTGAAACCAGCAGCAGAAGGGCCCCACCTCAAGCTGTATGCAAGTTGGAAGGGACAAACCACTAAGTTACATATAAGGAAACTGAGGCTGGGAAAGCCTGAGGAACTTATCTGAGGCCACCAAACCAGGCTTCTCAACTCTAACAGGTGAACCACACACACGACATGGCACAGAGAGACACATAAGACAGCTCATGTGGGCCTAACCAGACACCACTTTCCCATACACACACACACACACACACACACACACAGAGAGAGAGAGGTGCCACCATTTAACTACATGGGAGCACTCCCTGCCTGCCAAGAACACACACTGACACCAACCCTGCAAAGATTCAAGAAACATGATCATCTCCTCTGGAGAAGGAACTGACTCCCCAAGTACACCTCAACTGCTGGATTTTTGCCTTCTTTCCAGCATTCTTGAGCATTAGAAAGATGCTTAGGTTTCATCTGCAAATTATCTTAAGTTTCAATAGCAATCACTTTCATATATATTTTGAAAATGCCTCATGGTTGCCGAAAATGCTTCATAGCTCCCAGTTTCCAGGCCCACACTTTCATCAGCCACTCTACCCCTCGACAAAGGCAGGGCAGGTGTGAACACATTTATTTGCATCTTGCCTGAGGTCAGAGCTAGGCAGCAGAGGAAGAAGTAGAGACCAGGGCTCCTGATTCAGCATTTCGCAGGCCCCTAAATGGAAGGCAGATCCATGCAAGAAGACCCATTGCTTTAGGGAAATCCAGGCTGCTCAGAGAAGTTTAGCTTAAAGCCAGAGGGTTTAGAAAGCAATCTGCATAGAGGCACGGTGCAGAAATGCTGGAAAAAACTGAGGCTCAGACCAGCAGTTCATTCTCTTGGGGTTCATTCCATAACAGGTGCTTATATACACAGGCCCACTTCCTCTCCCACAGGGGTTCAGTTACCCTGGCAAGGAGTGAGAGGACCGTGCACAGCTCAGGCCTGCTGTACATGCCGCAGACCAAATCAGCTTGAAAAGGTGAATGTCAAGAGCTCTGCGAGGACAGGGCTGAGTCACTTCAAGCTCACCACCCCCCACCCTGCTGCCTGGGTTGGAAGAGTTTGATCCAAAGCTCAAGGGAGAACCAAGGATGCTGTTTTGGGAAAAGCACACCTTGGAAAGTGGGTAGTTGTATGAAAATGGGATGTGGCCTAATCTTCCCCTTTAGTCCCTAAGGAGAATCAACTCTGCCTGGGAGCTGCATGGTCTCTGGCTCAGGGAGTGAGAAGAGGAGGGCTTTAGGGCCACCCTGGGGGCTGCCAGAGCAGTGCCTTCCAAACTGTAACACGTAGATCTTGTTAAAAGTCCAGGGCCGGGCGCAGTGGCTCACGCCTATAGTCCCAGCACTTTGGGAGGCCGAGGTGGGTGGATCACGAGGTCAACAGATCGAGACCATCCTGGTCAACAAGGTGAAACGCTGTCTCTGCTAAAAAATACAAAAATTAGCTGGGCATGGTGGCGCGCGCCTGTAGTCCCAGCTACTCGGGAGGCTGAGGCAGGAGAATTGCTTGAACCCAGGAGGTAGAGGTTGTGGTGAGCCAAGATCGTGCCATTGCACTCCAGCCTGGGTAACAAGAGCGAAACTTCGTCTCAAAAATAAATAAATAAATAAAGTCCAGATTCTGGCCTGGATGTGGTGACTCACACCTGTAATCCCAGCACTTTGGGAGACCGAGGCAGGCAGATCATGAGGTCAAGAGATTGAGAACATCCTGGCCAACATGGTGAAGCCTCACATCTACTAAAAATACAAAAATTAGCTGGGTGTGGTGGTGCATGCTAGTTGTCCCAGCTACTCAGGAGGCTGAGGCAAAAGACTGCTTGGACCCGGGAGGCAGAGGTTGCAATGAGCTGGGATGGTGCTACTCCAGCCTGGCGACAGTAAAACTCCGTCTGAAAAAAAAAAAGTGCAGATTCCAATAAAGCCGGTCTGGAATGAGCCCTGAGATCCTACTGGTAGTGAGTGGGCCAAACCACACTGAATAGCAGGGTAACAGAGAATGTCCCCTGCTACCCTGATCGCCTTCCCTGAAGGTAAAACAGACACATTCCACTAGGAACCACAGGGGGGCACCCCAGCTTACCAGATTACTTGAAAGCTATTTCAATCCAGAGGCTGGAACCTCAGGCAATCCAGACACCCCAAGTCATCCCTTGCCTATGGAAGCTGGAGAAGTTCTCCGGTTGCTGTTGTCTGCAGAAGATAGGGCAGCAGAGCATATATGAAGAGTAACACCCTTGCAGTCCTTCTAGGCCCCTTCAACCGTCCCTAGCAGGATTTGTGGGGACCCTGAAGTAGAAGCAATAACCCCAGTACCTTCTGTCTAACCACAGGGAAACCCAGAGCAGGAGCCCAGAGACATTGCTCCAAGACACAGCAGAAACACAGAATTATATGCCCTGAGGATCCGCAGGCACAAATGATGTGTAGAAGAAGCACTGTATGCCAGGCGCAGTGGTTCACGCCTGTAATCCCAACACTTTGGGAGGCTGAGGTGGGTGGATTACCTAAGGTCAGGAGTTCAAGACCAGCCTGACCAACATGGTGAAACCCTGTCTCTACTAAAAATACAAAAATTAGCCAGGTGTGGTGGCAGGCACCTGTAAATCCCAGATACTCAGGAAGCTTAGGCAGGAGAATCGCTTGAACCCAGGAGGCGGAGGTCGAATTGAGCCAAGATCGGGCCACTGCACTCCAGCGTGGGGGTGGGGGGGGGCAAGAGAGAGACTTTGCCTCAAAAGAAAAAGCATTGTAGAGGAATTTAGGGTGCCTCTTGGCTTCGCTTTGGTTTTTTTTCTTTTTTTTTTTTTGAGACGGAGTTTCATTCTTGTTACCCAGGCTGGAGTGCAATGGTGCCATCTCGGCTCACCGCAACCTCCGCCTCCTGGGTTCAGGCAATTCTCCTGCCTCAGCCTCCTGAGTAGCTGGGATTACAGGCACGCACCACCATGCCCAGCTAATTTTTTGTATTTTTAGTAGAGACAGGGTTTCACCATGTTGGTCAGGCTGGTCTCGAACTCCTGACCTCATGATCCACCCACCTTGGCTTCCCAAAGTGCTAGGATTACAGGCGTGAGCCACCACGCCTGGACTTCTCTTTGTTTTTAAGGAAAGGAAGAGGCACTCCAAACCCCACCTGTGGCTCATTCTAAACCACTGGGACCCCAGTCCTATTCAATGGTTTCTCTCAGCAGGAGTCAGGAAGGACAACTTTGCAACTTTTTGTTACTATTATGCTGCAGTGATTAGCCACCCAATCCTAAGGGGTAGCTCTGGACACAAACAGAAAAGTAGGTACAGGATGGGCAGAGAACTGATGTGGCCCTGAGAAGGGTAAAGGACGGAGTGAAGAAATCAGTGAGCAAGTATTCTGAAGGATCCCCTCCCTGCCCCTTCCACCTTCAGTGGGGGGGGAGGGGGGGAAGGACAATGCCAGTCTCTTGAGTTTCATTTGTAGCCCCTACCCTTTCTCCACTAAGTCTATCAATTTTCCGGTAGGCGTGGTGGCTCACACCTGTAATCCCAGCACTTTGGGAAGCCAAGGTGGGTGGATCATGAGGTCAGGAGTTCGAGACTAGCCTGACCAACATGGTGAAACCCCGTCTCTACTAAAAATACAAAAAAAAAATTAGCTGGGCATGGTGATGCGTGCCTGTAATCCCAGCTACTCGGGAGGCTGAGGCAGGAGAATTGCCTGAACCCAGGAGGCGGAGGTTTGGGCCGAGATCGTGCCACTGCACTTCAGTCTGGGCGACAGAGTGAGACTCCATCTCAAAAAAAAAAAAAAGTCTACCACTTTTCTCAGTACTAAGGAAAGGGAGAACCTAGTTCTAGAAACCCTGAGAGGAAGGGCCTGTAACATAATATAACATAATGTAACGTAACATAAACATAATAATTATGTTACCTAACAGTAACATAATATTTAGAACACTTTATGTCTTCATATGAAACCCACATGCACCCTGGAATGAGACATAAAGAAGCTAATACATTCCACAATTTTTAAAATTTATTTTTTGTTTTGAGATGGAGTCTCACTCTGTCGTCCAGGCTGGAATGCAGTGGAACTCCCTGCAACCCCCATCTCCTGGGTTCCAACCATTCTTCTGCCTCAACCTTCTGAGTAGCTGGGATTACAGGTGCGTACCACCATGCCCGGCTAATTTTTCCTCTTGTTGCCCAGGCTGGAGGGCAATAGCATGATCTTGGCTCAACACAACCTCCACCTCCCAGGTTCAAGCAATTCTCCTGCCTCAGCCTCCTGAGTAGCTGGGATTACAGGCATGCACCACTATGCCTGGCTAATATTGTATTTTTAGTAGGGACAGGGTTTCTCCATGTTGGTCAGGTTGGTCTAGAACTCCCACCCTCAGGTGATCTGCCCGCCTCAGCTTCCCAAAGTGCTGGGATTATAGGTGTGAGTTCTCGCCCAGCTAATTTTTTAAATTTTTAGTAGAGATGGGGTTTTACCCTGTTGGCCAGGCTGTTCTTGAACTCCTGACCTCAAGTGATCCACCCACCTTGGCCTCCCAAAGTGCTGGGATTACAGGCATGAGCCACCATGCCTGGCCTCAATGATTATTTATTGAGCATCTACTCTGTGCAGAGGTGCTAGGGATACAACATAAACAGAATCCTTGTTTACACTGTATCTGCTTCTAGTTGAAGAGACTGACAAAGAGGAAATACGTAGTTTTGGACAGTGATCAATGCTGTGATAGTGACAGGCACAGGGGACAACTTTCAAGAGGGTGGTGAGAAAAGCCCCTCTGAGGAGGTGGCAAGTGAGCTGAAAAGTCCTTGAGGAGAGTGAACCAGCCATTGCAAGATCGCAAGGAAAACCAAACCAGGCAGAAAGTACTGCAAGTGCAAAGCCCCTGAGGCAGGAAGACGCTGGCTTTGCAAAACTGCAAGGCCGGAATGACCACAGAGCATTTTGCCAGAGGGAGCTTGGTACAGATAAGGTCGGCTCATATATACCTCTCGGGCCACAGCAAACGTTCAGATTCTAAATGCAACGTGCATGCGGCCACTTAAGGATTTTAAGTAGGAGTGTAAATTATCTGAATTATGATTTTAAAGCCACTGGCTAGGCCCAGTGGCTCTTGCCTGTAATCCCAGCACTTAGGGAACCTGAGGTCAGGAGTTCCAGGCAAGCCTGGCCAACATGGTTAAACGCCGTCTCTACTAAAAATACCAAAATTAGCCGTGTGGTGCTGGGCGCACGTAATCTCGGCTACTGGGGAGGCTGAGGCAGGAGAATTGCTTTAATCGGGAAGGCAGAGGTTGCAGTGAGCTGAGATTACACCACACACTCCAGCCTGGGTGACAGAGTTGAGACTCTGTCTCAAAATAATAAACAAACAAATAAATAAATAAATGTTCTGCAGCCACCTATGTGGAAAATGGATTATCAAGAGGCAAGACAGGAATCAGAGAAACTAATTAGGAATCTGTTACCAGAGCACAGGGGAAATGTAATGGTGGCTTGGATCAAGGTGTTAACAGTGGAGATGGATGGAGAAGTGGTCCTATTTGGGTATACATTAGATATAGATTCAACAGGACTTGCAGGTGACTTGCACGCTGGGGACTGATAAGACCTGAAGAATCAACTCGAGTGTGTATTTGGAGCAACTGGATGAATGGTGGTATCACTTACTGAGAAAGGGAAGGCACAGGGAGAAACATGGAGAGGTTGGGATGCAGGGGTCGGGGGGAAGTGGGGGTGGACAGAAATTTGGGCCTGGCCCACCATGAAACTGTTACCTCTACCCAGTCCAGTAGGAAATCCAAAGAATTTCCATTGCAATTGTGACTCCGAGAATACACCATTTCACGATGCCAGGTTCAGCAAGCCACTGACCCCACCATGCTGCCTCTTTATACTCTTGGAATGATTGGATACTAAAAGGTTTTTGAGAAAAACAAAAACCCAACATCTCAAAAGGTAGAAGCAACTGTCAAAAGCTCTGCCACTTAAATCTTCTGCCTCTTAAATCTTCTCTCAGTCAGCCTAATTGGAAGAGCTTAACTTGCATACAGAACCCTAACTGCAAGGAAGTCTGGGCAATGTAGTTTCCAAGTGCCCTACCTTCTGCAAACCCGGAAGACCCACCAGGAGGACGGAAGTTGAAATGAATGCTGAGTACCGGTCCACTATATCCACAAAGGGTGTGTAATTCACTACCACCATCATTTGCATATGATGGTAGCTCCCAGTAAATACAAACTTCAAACAATCAATGCTCTTTGAATCCAGCTATGATCTAACCTGGGGGCCTTGAATGGAAGCCACAGTGGAATCCAAAGGAAAACGGGAACCGGCATTATCTAACAGATAATTCCTAGTGAGAAAGACTGGAATTGGCCTCAGCATGCAGGGCTGACCTCATCTGACTCAGAGAGATGGCTTCCCCACTCATACCTCCACATGGCCGAGCCTAGGGGTCCTAACCACCAACCCCGCCGCCTCTCCCAGCATCTGACCCCTCTCGGGAGACAGCCTAGAGTATTGGTGACGATAACAATGTCTTTGGGAGATAGGACTGTGTCTTCGTTTGTTTTTATCATCACCAATATTCGGTGGTTATTTCCATGAATGTTTATCAAGGACGAAAGGACAGAAATGAAAAACACGAGATCAACCACTGGGGTTGCTGGTGAAATCCAGACCAGAGAGCAATGGCTCTGGTCCAGAAAGCGAGACAGAAGCACAGATTCGGGCCCCGTTGAGAAGAAGGCACTGGAAAGTAAGGAATCCCGCAGACAGCCTAGGTGGGGTATGGACGCGGACGCCCTCCTGGGTGTGGGGTCACCGTAGCCGCACGGTGGGGTGGGGGTGGGAGGCGTCCAGGAGCGAGTCAACCGGGAAGACCGTTAGGAAGAGATGAAGCCACTGGGTGCAGCGGTCCCGGGGCGGGGACAGAACCCGGCCCCCATCAAGGAGTCCTCATCATGTAGACGAGCAGAAGGCAGCGCCAACTCCCACTCCGGCGGCCGCCCGCCGGAGCGAGCGCGGCCCCTTTAAAAACCATGTAAACAAAGCTTTGTTCCCCCAACCACCCCTCCTTCGCGCTTCCCAGGCCCGCTCCTTCCTCCCACCCGGCGTCTCCGGGCCGCTGACGTTGCCCGTGCCTTTACGCCGTCCCAGCGGTGCTGCGCATTCTCCAACCACGGCCCGGGCTGCCTGGGCCTGCGCAACCGAGAGGCGCTACGCCACGAGCGTAGCGCGACGAGCCCCCAGCGCGCAGGCGCAGCGGCGACGGCGTCGGCGGCGGCGGCGGCAGCGGCCCCGGCCGAGGTGCGCGCTGGGGGGGAGGGGGGGCCGGAGAGGAGCATGAATGGAGCAAAATGGCGGATCATGTGCAGGTGAGAGGAGCCGCGGGGGGGTGGGGGCGGCCACGGAGAGCGGGGAGTGGAGTGGGGGGCTCATGCGGCCCACAGGGCGCCAACTGGCTTGGGGATCGCCAGGCCCGCGCCGCCGCCACTCGGGGCTCTGGAGCCGCCGCCCGTCCCGGAGCCACCGGGCCTTTCCCGCCTCCCGGGCCGGGGGCCTCCTCCGTCCCCTCCCACCCGGTCCCACGCCTCGGGCCCGGGGCTGCAGGGGCAGGAACTGGCATCCCGGCGCGCGCAGCCCTTAACGCTCGTCAGTCACTGTCTTGGCGCCCGAGGGAGGCCTCCGTCAAGTCCTCGGGACCCCCGCGCCCCACGGTGAAGCCTTTGCTGACTCTGTCCTGCGGGGGACGCCCCCATGACGCCCGCCATCCCTCAACAGATAACAAAAAGGAAACCTAACCCTGATAAACCTCTCTCTCCGGAGTCTTTCCCGCCGCCTTCCTCTCACGCCCCCGAATACGAGAGACGCCCCCCTCCCCCCCGCAACCCCGGCCTCCTCCTTCCTCCCACGGATGCGCCTCCGCTCCGACACTCCAAATCGCACAGCCAGGAGGGCCGAGCTCCCCGGTCCTCCAAAATGGGTGCTGAGGCCTCGGCCCGCCTCCCCTCGCGTCCCCCTAGCCACAGTGAAGGAGTTGAGCGCCCACACCTCCTATGAAACACGGGTTGGAGGGGGGTGTGTCTGAAATGAGAGATCCAGGGTAGGGTGCAGACGCTGCTTGGGAGGGTCTTGATTAGGCTCCAGAGCTGCCCCGAGCGTGCTCTGGGGCCAGGCCACTTGCCTCAAAGACAGGCACAGGCCCTAGAAAGGGGCAGCTCATACCGAACCCAGTTGCAGTTGGAGGACTGCAGGGTTAATTTCTTGCAAATTAGATAAAGTTTTTCCTGTCTGTGCCAGAGATCTGATATTTTTATTGCAATTATTAATGCACATCCATTCTGGGGAACCTTCCAGTTTTCCAGGTAGCCAGCTGCACAGGTTTTGTGTTGTTAAGTAAAAATTATAGGGCAAGAAGTGCCGCCTTTATACTCTGTGGCATCATTCCTCAAGTAAAAAGAATGATCTCATTCCTAATATGTCTACAAGAATCTGGAGTGGTGTGACTTCTGTCCCTTTCTTTGATTGGAGAGAAAGGACTAAATAAAAGACTTAATTTTCTGGCGAGAGATCAGTAGAGTAGATCTTCTTAGTGTGCGGGACAAGTTGTCAGGAAGAAACGTAACCACAGATGAAAAAAACCACGGGATTTGTGTTTTAAAGCCAGCATCCTGGCTTAATTCAGAAGTGGCAATAAAAGTTGATACAAGGTGACAGTAATAGTAGTGTAACACCTTAAGTTTTATAGCAGCCATTTCTAAGAAAGGTGAGAGATTTTATGTGATTTTTAAAATTTCTTGCATCTTAAAAGAATCAGTAGGCAGGAGTTACTTCTGTCATTTAAAGTAATAAAAACCAAAGCGCAAGAATGATAATGAGATTTGCTTAAGGTAAGGCTAAGTGGCCAAAAAGTCTTTGGAGTTGGGGTCCAGTGCACTTCCTTGCTGGGGGTGGGAGGGTGTCTATGAGCATTCTGGAACAAGCTTTGAATGGATAGCCCTTCCGAACAATGGTCTGGAATGCAGAGGGAGTGTGTACTTTTATGTACAAATATACATCGTGCTATTTGCTATTTCCTGTAAAGAAATATCTCTTCATGTGGTCGCGTCCACATTTCTGAAGCAAAAAGGTTGTTATTCCTGTTAAAGCAGTCTTCACAGCATTTGTTGCTCCAAGGAAGATCTGTTTTATTTTTAGTAAGATGTTCTCCCATCACCCAAAAATCTACGAAAGTAAGAATTTATTAGCTTTCCAAAACAAAGGGAAGCACGTTGATCGGTGTTTTATTTGTGCTCTTATTTACTTTTAAGAGCTGTAATCTGTTGGTCTAAATTAGTGCTTGGTGGTCTTCATATCAACAGGGTTAGTTTGTGAGTGAATTTTTTTCTCTTTAGGGAGAATGGGACATACTGCTTTTCTTTGTTAGACCACTAAGTGTTAATAATATGGGCACTCACAGACTTTAAGGTGGTACTTTATTGTGGCAGAAAACCTTCCTATGAAAAAGATACACCCTTCCCTAGGTAGAATGAGTAAATAAATAAAGGCTTCATTAAAGACCGTCAGCTGTGCATTGGGGGAAGAGTTAGGGGGGAGGGGTATTTTTCTCATAATACTGATCAAACCTGAAGTTTATAAAGGTGTCTTACAGATTCATGACAATGATTATTTGAGAGTTGCATATGTAGAACTAAATAGTTGAGTCATTATGTATCTAGTGCTTTTCTGAACCACCAGGGTGAGCAGTTTTTTCACAATTGAGGCTGTCATGTGATTCTCAGGCTCTCTCCGGCTGATGTCTTGGGTATCTCTCTTCTAAGGATATGTGTTTTATGAAGATTTCAGTGCTATAAAGCTTTAGTAATGGGAAAATTATAATATTTGGTTTCAATTTTAGCTCTGTTGATGTCATAGGCAAGTCTGTAGAAGAGTGGCCTTAAGCTGCTCCTCGCTGTGATGGGTTTCTTATTCTTGGTCTTAGATGACCTTATCTAACTTTCACCCTGAAGACAGGGTGGTTACAAAGCTTTGCCTGGGAGAAAAAAAATCAAACTTATTTGTGTTTAATTATCTTCAGTGCCCTTCCTTCCATGTTTTTTTTTTTTCTTTTTAACATATCTAAAGTTAAATGACGAGAAGGAGAATTCAGTATCTGAATAGGCAAGTTAGTGCAAAGAGATGAAGACAACGCTCAGTGAACAGTGGTAATGCAAAAGATTAAGAAGGATCAGATGTTAACTTTAATAGTGCTAGCTGGTGTTCAGGAGCTCGAGAGGAAACGGAAAGAATATAATTTATACATCGAATATGCTATTTATGTGAATTATATTAACTGTACTATAAATAATGGAATCGAAGGCTGATTTCAGGATTTTGTTGGAATTACTGTGTTGTGCTGAGTCTTATCCCAGATCCTAAAGTGTTATTCACTGGGCTCTGCATTATGACTATGCTAGCAGAATGTACTATTTACAAAGTAGTCATGATTTGTTTTAAATTTTAGGCACAGTAATTAAATATTGACTGCCAATGTAACGCTGGGGAGTTGTGAAGAATCATTACAGCTGTCAGGTTAAATTTTAGCAGGGTGCAAAAATTCGGCCTGATGATAGCAAAAGTGATGGTGGTTTTTTCAGCTTTTAAAAATACGCAACGAAATAAGTGCTATGGATAGTCCATTTTGAGAAGGGAGTTCCATACAAGTTTTGAAAATTTTAAATGAAAAAATAACTTTCCTAACTTTTTTCCAGTTCAACTAATACCAGAATGCTTAGTGTGTGCAAGGCCCTCGCTGTGCTGGGCACTGTAGAGGTCTCAGAATGAGAAAGACACTGGAGCCAGTTGCTCTCTCTTGGCAGGCTTCAGGAGCACTCATATGGATACAAGAATGAATACACTGATTTCAAAACATGCTACATCTGTGTTGGGTGATAAGCAATAACTATATCCCCTTACCCACTCCCACCTTGATATACTTTTGTGGGTTTATGTAAATCATACGTGTGTATTTTGTTTCATTTTTTTTACTCCTATTTAATACAACACTGAAAAATGTCTATATATATATTTACTTGATTACTCTGACTTCAGTATATTTTCTCTGAGAAGCCTTGAGAAAAATGAAGGGATGTATATGTATAAAGCAAAATACAGTACAGTGATGGAAGAATCTCTAATTTAGAGAGAGGTATAGAAAGAAATATCAGGAACATCTCTGTTCTATATCTTACAGAGAAATTAGCTTCCATTTGACTCAGAAATTGATGTTCATAACCCCCCGCTGTATTTTCTTTTTTCTTGGTTGGGTTTTGAAAGCAATATTGTACCACAGCCTTTCAAGGTGGGAACGTTGCCAATTTAAACCAATAAGCTAAATGTCTCTCTGTAGGTACAACTACTGAGGCTACTTTGCCCACTTCAGTATGTGCAAGGAAGATAGTATTTTGAAACTGCATCTTTGTTTTAAACACCTGACACTTACTATCTCACAGATTTTTCTCAGGGTTAGGAATCTGGGTGTGGCTTAACTAGATGGCTCTGGTTCAGGGTCTGTAGTTTGCAGTCAAACTCTCAGCTGGGGTGGTGGACTGCAGTCAATCTCAGGGCTTGACTTGAGGATAAAGAATCTATTTTCATGCCAAATGTGGGTGAAGGGGAGGAAGGCAGCAAAACACACTGCCATGTGTGTACCTGTGCAACTATCTTGCATGTTCTGCACATGTACCCCAAAACCTAAAATGCAATTAAAAAAAAAAGAATCTATTTTCAGGTTTACTCATGTGGGCCTCGTCAGGCCTCAATTCTTCACTGGCTTCAGTTCTTTACCACATGGGCCTCCCCTAGTGCATCATTTTAAAGGACTTCATTAAGTTCTGTAATGATATATGTTTGTATAAGTGACCCATCTTCATTTTTTTTCCCCAAAAACTTTTTATTGAAATATGTACCTGCAGACAGGTACAGAAATCATTAAGTGTTCACCTTGATGAATTTTCACAAAGTGAATACTCCTTCATAAGCAGCACCCAAATCAAGCCAATATTATCAGTGCCCCAGAAGCCCCCTGATACCTTCTCAACTGCTACCGGTAGCGCACCACCCTACCCCACTAACCACTATCCTGTCATTTGATTTTTAAATCTGCTTTTAGAACTCAAGCTGAGTAACTTGAGAGTTTTAGCTTCAAAGCCAGGGGGAGAAGCAGTACAGAGCAGTGATTATACAGCTTTGGGGGGATTTATTTCAGAATGCGATGGAAGCTGTGTTGCTGTTCTCTCTGGTAGGGGTGGGGAGAATGTGTTTACACAAAATTGTACCTACAAGTTTAGGCCATCCATAAACCTTGTAACTACAGTTTAAAGATAGGCTCCTTTTTAGATGAAATGCTC